ATTAATGTAATCTCAATACAGGTATAATGAAATTTGTATGAAAAATATTATTATACTTAAAATTCTATAAGTTATACTTCAACAGTTTCCTTTTGTTATATTTTTATATTCATACAGTTTTATCTGTAAAATACAAATAAATACAAAATAATATATTTGTATCAACAAGAAGAAAAAGTTACGTTTTTATTAAAATAAATAATAAATACGTATTTCTGTTCCTTTTTGATTTTTTCGATCATCAAAAAGCTATTTTATATTATATTAAGTTACAATAAAAAGTTACTAAATATTTTATTCTATTTATTAGGCGAACATCAAATTTACGGCAATGTTTGTTTATTATTTTAAATTTTTATATATCTAATGTTGGTATTACCATGAGGTGGGTTCATGTGAACTAAACATAACCTATATTTTGGTAAGAGGTTAGAAAGTGTGTTAGTTTCAGTTAGTTTGTTAATGTTGCTTGAGCAATGGCAATGCAATACAGTAAAGATGGCAAATATTTTGCCCAAATAACGGCGGAAAGTAGATTAAAGATATGGAATACATCGACGAACAGTTTTGAGCAGGAATACACACCAAATTTCCATTTGGCTGCACCATGTGTGAGTTTACATTTCGTCCAACCAACAGCAACAAACAGGGTAAGATCAACATGTGCTATTTCACAATATTCAAATAAAACTTAACTGTTGAATTTTCTATAGGTGGGTTCACCCAAAAAGAAAATCAAAAGAAAAACTGAACTCTCCAATCACTATGTTTGTTTGGGAACAACAAATGGGTTACTTTTGGTATACTCCATAACTAAAGGTGACTTGGATTTCACAATAAACAGTGAAACCAGCGAAGTAATCAATTGTTCGTCATGGCAATCCGGTACAGAAATGTATTCATCAGCTAATCAAAATATTTTATGCTGGGATTTAGAAAATAGAAGTGTTAAGAGGTAATGTTTTTTATTAAACTTGTTTTCAAAATTATAAGGTTTATTTTTTGTTTAGTAATTGGAAAGCAGGAAATGAGACAATTACTGCAATGTATTTAATCCCTAAAAAAGATGAACTATTGACAGCTGCTAAGACTATTAAGCTCTGGAATATAAATACACAGCAATTGTTGAAGACTTATGTGGGACACAATGATAATATTACTTCGATGGAATACATCAGTACACAAAGTTCGGGATGTTATTGTCTTACTGGTGCAAAGGTAAATTTTGATATTTATATCAGTTAATGTAGAGATATAATATTTATTTTTTTTCAGTCTGGTAGGATACTGTCATGCTGGAATTTAGAAACTGATTCAGTATCAGCTAGTACTCATTTCATTATGGATGATGTTATTCACAATTTGTCAGTAAGTGTTGATAATGATGGCATGACAAAGGTGGCTGCTACAACTAGGAATGGAGTATGCCATATATTTAGATATGTTCTGAATGGGTAATGAGTACTGATTTTTTTTTATTATCAATATAATTATTGTTTTGTTTCATTCAGGCGTAGCACTAGACCACTGAAACCTGCAACAACTGTTAGAGTGGCAACTGATAATACAGATGTTGTAGCACCTATCCACATATTCTCAGCAAATTATAAAGATGATAATAGTTTAATGATTGCTCATGGAATAGAGATGAAGTTAACATTCGAAGATGTTGTAAGTGCACGTAAAATGAGATGTATTAAAAATAATACATTAATTTAATCGGTTTCAGATTGTCAGTACTACTGATAAGTTGCAATGCTTAGTAAGAGCTGCACCAAAGTTGCAGTCCAAAGCAAAAAGCGACGGTGCTATAGGTCAGAAAGTACCGATAGATAGTACAGAGTATTTGGGAACGCACTCATCAAAAGTATTGCCCAAGAAGAAGAAAGAAGGTAAAGCATGTGAAGTGCCAATGGAAATGAGGCTAGAGAACTTGAGTCTTAACAAGTTGGATACTGTTTCGAGGTCGAGCGTGAAAAATATTGCGCATTTGTTGCTGCAGGCTATGCACAGCCAGGATCAAGTGATGTTGCATACGGTATTCAAGAATCGCGATGAATCCGTTATTAGGAATGCTGTTAAGAGGTTGCCCATTGTCTCCATCAAGAATTTACTGGACCAGATGACTATTTTTATGCGGGGCAAGAGTCTTTGGTGCCAGACTGCTGCAATCTGGATGAGGATCATAGTACAAGAGCATGCTGGTATTTTGGCTTCAAATCCTTCTCTTTCCGCGCTTTTGGAAGAAGTTCTCTCAGCAATTGATGCGAAACTTGTCAACCATAGGCCCTTATCACGATTGAAGGGCAGATTAGATTTATTAATTTCACAAATCGAGAAACAACCAAGCAGGGATAATAATAGTAGCGAGGCGCTATTAGTCTACAATGATAAAGGTATTTACATATTTAATTTACATTTAACTACATCCCAACAAGTATTATTCAATACTTTAACTAACAGTTATGTATAGTTTTAAAATATTTTCAGTAAACTTTACTAATAAATGCAATTAATGCTTTATTGACACTGAGAAGGGATGTAAGAAGGGTCTAATAATTTAAAAAAAATTAAATGTATTTTTATTATTAGTACTTGATTATATGAATATTTTACTATCGAATCTTTAGATATAAATAAATTTCGCGGGATTAATAAATTTATATGTATGTTTTTTTTACAGCATCAAGTGATTCAGAATTAGACGGAATTGAAGTGGGCAGTACGACGGAGGATCCAGTCGATGGTTGGGATGAGGACACTGAGGAAGTGAATATATTCAACGAACCATCGGGAAATTCGAGCTCGGAGGCCGAAGATTCAGATGATGCGATGTCAACATGAATCTAGTTAATGTCATTCGTTGTTTTATTTATTGCATTACATAAATGGAACATCGTAATTTAATGCATTTTAAAGTTTTCTTTTTATTACATATATTTTTTTTTCCACCTCCGTAAATGAAACATTTATTTTTACTATTGAAAATTGTTGTTTGTATAGAACTATCGATATTCCACAGAATTAATAAAAAATACGAAACAAGAAAGAAACTTTCATCCGATTTGTTGTTATTTATAATTGTTTGCGGAAGCGCACGCGCGATTGGCATATTTAGGGGAGGCAGGCCGCGAGTCGGACCATTCGCATTTCATCCCTTAACTCTGAAGGAGTTGCGATACTCGCGGTGGTGTGGAAAAGCGCGCGCGCGTTCCTCCGAATCTCGCGATTCAGCATTATTAATAATACTTTGAAAATATACCGGAAGTGCTAGGAAAGTTGTCCTTCCGTTTAAGTTTTTGAAAGGACCAAGTGCTTTAAAAAAAAGTTTCCGAAGCATTTCTATATTTTTTCTCACTGGGATTTTACAATCGTAAGGATTAATTATTATTTATTGGTAAAAAAAAAATACTTTCACACTATTTTCACGAATATTATTGTTTATTGTAGTTCTAGTAACAGGTATAATTTTATTTTCTAAACTGTCTTTGCTGCATCATAAATCTCTCCGCTCGGAAAACCCTTGTGACATAATCTTAAAGCCACAGTTAATAAACTTTACACTCTGAGTGTCAGGATGATATGAGAGGCTTTTGAAAGTGGATCTTTCGCACCATCAAGATTATTATCTTTTTCTCTCTCTTCGCGTTCTTTATTCTGCAAATCTGATTAAATACTGTACATTTTAATTAAGAATATAAGAAAGATGACATTTCAAGTAAATTAAAAAATAAAATTATACTTATAGTAATTATTTTACATATATTCTTAATTAATTTCTGAAATACTTTAAATTAATTATAAACACTATTAATTATTTTAAGTAGTAATTATATTAATTGAAAGAATTAATACACATATTTAGACCAAAAAGTGCGAAATAAACAAGGAAAATTGCAAAAATATACAATATTTTTAAACAATATAAATTCAATTAATTAACAGTATAATTTTGTTGAAATCAACTTCGAATATGTCAGTTTAGTGATAAATGATTTTTTAACTTCTACTTATTAGCCTTTATACTTTACATATGGAATGCAGTTTAATATATTTATGTGTTTAGAAATTTGAAAAAAAATAAAGCTATGAAAATAAAATTAGTAAAAAATATTCGTTTTTCATTGAATCACAAAATAAAATTTGTTGAAGAGAGAATTAACTCTTCATCTTACACATTTAGCACATTTTTGTTGCAAATTAGAAATAATGAATTAGTTTAGACATTTTTAGTCATATACAATTAAATTTATTATATTCTAAAATCTACAAAAATAAAACATTCCTTAACAATTCATATAAAAAAAATCAAATCAGAAGAAAAAATTACGTTTGGGTCCAAGAAATCCCATCATTTATGATGATTATACAAAAAAAAGAAGAGAAAGTGCAATCGCAAAACGTAAGCGATTTTCCGTATTTACATAATTTCATTGAAGGCAAAATTGCGTTCGTCTTCTCTGTGCCCGTGTCTGAAGTATATTATTTTTATTTTTATTACACCGGATGGAACGTAAACTTCATAAATTCACATTTCGGTCCATTTAATTTCAATTTGAATTCAAATATACTAAATGTGTATCTTCTGGAGAGCAAAAGGTAGACGGAATGAGTTGGAAAGTTTTACTACAGCTGCGGACGTTTTGTCTTCTTCCTTTCTGAATTCCTGTTAAGCGGATGTCAGCCGTTCCATAATTTTATATTCATTGAAAAATTAAATCGCTTTGAGATTCCAAACGTTGCGATTTGCGTGTCTCTACGGTTCTCAAACCTCATGTATGCAAATATTGGAAAAATATAATTGCAAATTTAATATTTATAGAATATTCATAGTGGATTTTGTTCACGACACGTATCGCTATGGGGAAACTACAATTTCGTTCGAATATCGCTTGTCGATTTTAACTAAAACCATCTCCCAGTTAAAGGTTTATATGAGATGCATTGAAAGTGGACAAAACAACAACAACAACAATTTAATATACTTATAAATATGACAAGAAGCTCTAATTATCAGTTTAAAGTTAATGTAAATTTATTAGTAAAACTTTACAAGGATTGTAATGAGAAGATGATGATTAGTTCAACCACTTGATAAGTACAATGAATAAAGCTGCTTTTATATCGGATCTGGACATATAGATTAATAATAAAGATAGACTACACTGAGTTAATTAAACATATTAAATATTTACATGAATACTACCGATGTTTCTCATTAAAAATATAAAAATAATTTTTATAAAATTAGATATAATAGATTTTATAATTACTTAATACAGTTTTTAAACTTAATTTCAAGTTATTCTTTGTTTCAACTTTTTATTTTTGCAAAAATTGTATAATTCACTTTGTTGAATTAGAAATTATATGATAAATTTTAATTAATAAGGATGAAACTATTATCATGCATATAACATTATTCAAACTTTATTTCGAAATTAATACATACGAAGTTATTTGTTTGCCTGAATATAAGATTCTAAAGTTAAATGGATTTCAGAAACTCATAAAGATATGTTCTAACTGTCGACTCGAAAAACAATTAACGCAGAAAACTGATTGTTCCAAACAAATAATTATGTCCGTTTCACAACAATAATTACAAGTTAAATGATTGACATTAAACATAATAACACATTAAATGGAAAAATCTATTAAAAGTTTGGTTAATGTAAAATTAATTGATTTAAATAATTATTGTGAACGCTTTAATTGGATTTAATTTAAAGCTGATTTTTGTCATTTAATAGAAAATAGATAATTGCGTATACAAAATACACATTGGCTTATTTGCACATATTTATGAACGACAATGATTTTGGAAATTGAAAACGCACTGGTTGGAAATAAATACAATATTTATTTAATTAATTATCGCTGAAACTAAATCGTATACCAAAATGGAATGGAAATATAGTGATAATGGATTTGTAGCAGATAAATATTTTAATTAAATCAAATAAATACAGGAAATGATTAATTGAACATGGTTTGTAAATGCAAATAAATTATTCTAGTAGCAAAAGAAAACAAGTAAAAAATATTGAATTAAATATGGTATAATGTATTTTGAAATATTGGATAAATTAATTAATTTAAATTTTATTTATAAAGTTTTTTTTCTATATATTTATTATTAAATAAAGTAATAAGTAAATAACATTAGTTGATTAATTAAAACTAAGCGAAAGCGAAGTTATTATGACAATAATTTATGAAAAATATTTTAAAACAAGTTTTAAGTTAATATATAATTGAAATAGATAATATTCTTTGATTTATTTAAAATCTTTATAAAAATAAATAATACTCCCTCTGTCCGAAAATATGGTATACATTCTTTCTATCAAAAGTCTTAGATTATCTAGAGCAGTGGTTATTTATATTTTTATTATATTCTGAATCCATTTTTTTGTAATTTTCGCATTATTAAGTTGCGTTTTTGTGTGAGGTCAGATATAAATACTATTTCATATTTATAATATTATTTTTTTTAAAGTCCTTGTAATGGTTCGCGGGATTCAAAATTTTGAGTTTAGTATTCGGCGAGATTCAATATTTTCAGGTCCGTGAGGTCAAAAAGGACCGTTGATCTAGAGTTTAGAAAGCAACTGTTAATATTCATTATATTGGTATTGTTTACATTGATAAGTAAATAACATAATTTACAGTCGTTACTTTTCAGTTAAGTTTGAATTTGAAAACCAAAAATTGTTTTTTTTTATGAAAAATGTAATTTCAAAATGGAAAATGTGAACCCAAATAATGTGAATTTATAAAGAACAGATGCCAAATCGAAGCAATTGACTAATGAACAACGTCATTGTATCTTGCAACATCTATTAGAGCAGCGGTTTCCAAACTGGGAGGCGCGGACTCTTACCAGGGGAGGCGCCAAAAATTTTTAATAAATTAATTTTGATACCATAATATCTTCAATAAATAAAACGTGTCTATATTATTTAATCTATTAAAACAATAAAAGGTTAGGGAGGCGCGGAAAAAAAAATTTCGGGGAGGCGCGGAAAAAAAAAAAAATTCGGGGGAGGCGTAGTAGCATAAAGTTTGGAAACCGCTGTATTAGAGTATATGAAAAACAAAGAAAGAATAGAACACGGTTCTACTGATGGTTGGATTATCCAAGTTATTAGTGGTTGTGACACTACCGATTTAAACTTTCTCGATTTGTTTTTTTTACTCTATTTAATTACTGCAACATGAATTTTTGCCAAACACAATTGATGAATTGATTGAATGTGTTCAATATGCATTTAATAAATTAGAGAGAAATACTTTTAATAACGTTTTTATAAAATTACAAACGTGTATGGAATCAATTATTGTACAGGAGTAGGAAATTCCAATAAATTTCATGAACTTCGTCGTGAGGGTCGATTAAATGAAATGTATCAAAAGAAGCGTTCAACAAGGCTAAATCTTACTTTCACTACATTTGGATTACATTAAAATTATTTATATTTAGTTATATTTTGATAATAAAATGAATTTAATATTTCTTATATTTACTTTTAATTCTATTTCATTTTTTTCGCAAATGTGTACGATATTTTCGGACAAAGGGAATAATTTTTATTTGATCAAATTACAAACTTAAAAAAATATAAACTTAACACAATAACATAGTAACAAAAATAAAACTAAATTAAACTGCTGCAAAGGGCATAGGTCTTTGCCCTATCTAATAATATTATATATAATTTACAATAAAATGTATAATCAAATTGATTAAATAAATTTCGTACCATTATAATAATAATAATTTATTGGCCAAACATTAATACATAGAAAAAAAGTACATTCTATTTATTTAACTAAATATTTCGATTATAATTGTTTCATGGGTATTTTCATAGTGACTATATATATAGTCCATTAGATATTATATATTAAGCATAAAAAAATGAAATTTGAATAGTATCTGAAAATAGGATACTTACTTATTATTTCGAACGAAAGCTTTTGAAAGGTTACTAAAATATTCCGGGTATTAACTGATTCATAATGGAGTTTTTCGATGTTGAAATGTAAAAAAATAAAAATAAAAGCTTTATGAACTTTACTGAATATTTATTTATTTGTAAATGGTTCATTGCATAAATTATTTTGGGTAAATGAGATATTTTTTTAGATTGAAAGTCTTCGGTTTTTGTCTTTAAATATAATATATTTTTTTCTAATATTTTACACTATTTGTCTGAAACATTACTTAATAGTCGTTTGTATCTAATTATATATTAAATTTTGTTAATATATTAACATTATTTACTTTATATCGTCCTGTTTTTCTTCATACAAATATATAAAAGAGACGCAACAATGTGTAAAAAATTGATGCGACGTTTTGATGATTGCTAAAATGTATGAGATTTGTAAGAAACTCTCTTTATTTCTGCTGTGAAATATTCAGATGTTAGTATTCTGTATTCAATTTATATTCTGTTACTTTGTTAAACTTTAGAAAAATTCTACAATAAAATAAGTTATTTGATAATATTTGTGGGAAACAAATCCCATAAATTCCATAATCATTATTTTTTGTTGTAAAATATTAAAATGTTGGGATCTTTAAGAAATTTTACTCACTTTTGTTTGTAAAATTTTTGGAAAGTTTTCTTTCTAAATTTTTGTATAAATTTAATTAAAAATAAAGTTGAGATTTTATAATTAGTTTTAGATACAAAAGTTTTCTAAATTTAATTTCAAGTGATTTTCTCTGTGGAATAAATCAATGTTTTTGTTGAAAATACTACAAAGGGTTTTGTAGAAACTTTAAAATATTCAAATATCCTTAAATTCATAAATTTATATTCTGTTTCAGGCTGTACTTTGGCTCGGAAGAGAAAACAGAACTGCTGAAATCCTACGCCGTAGAATAACGAAGTGTTAATAGAGATCTAAAGAAAGAAACGGAAAGGAAGAGGAGAAGTGAAAAGTGTAAGTGATGATAGTGGTATCTAGTGAACAATGAGAAGTGCTTTAGTGTTAGCCCTCATCGCGATCGTTGCGTTCTGCGGTGGAATAACCGCCCCCACGTGCGTCTGCGACCGGAGGGAATGCGAAATCGTCAACGAGGTCGACTGTCCGGGACTTGGAGTCGTCGTTTGGGATCCATGCGAGTAAGTCCACAGAATAATAAAAGTAAAACATCACCTTTTCAACAAATAAATGGAAGAATATAAGTGGAGCCCCACAATAGAACGCAAGAGGCACTCGGAAAAATGACACACAATGTGAGAGGAACGAATAAAAGAACTCGTAACATCAATTGATCTTAACTAAAATATAGATACAGGTATCACTTACATAACATGTTATGGTTTCGCTCCAACACGATTAGAGAATTACACCCAATACTCTCGCAACACGGTGTATATTCTTATAACACGATATCCTTTAAAACTATGGTGAAGTCCCAAATTCTCTATGTTTTAAGTTAAAATAAGAGATAATGTACAAACAAAATTATTTAACGAAATATGTTATTCTGGGAGAAATTATTCTTAAAACGTACAAAAAGTTATGAATTTGATTAAATTTACAAATATCTTTGTTATATTTAAACATGTCCCGGAGAATACTAGAAGATGTATCCATGCTTATATGCTAATTATAATTTCCTCTGAAGTTTCATGCCAAACTATTGTGTTACATGCGCGAGTATCCTTGCAAGAAAATAGAGCTTTTCAAGTAATTGCATTTGTGTGCCTTTCCATGGATAAAGTGAGACGTTTGGCAAAGCATGATACTACATACCATTGGATGTAATTCAAGTTCATGTGATTTACAATTATTAGTTCAAAAATTACATCATTATGAGTTTGAAAACAAGATATACAGTTTAATAAACATATAAACACATTTTCTGATCTGTTTTGGAAAGTATAGTTAAGTTTATTTTATTATTTATGCTTTAGTTCATCCATAAAATAAATCGTAATTGAAAATCACTTACTAATTCTACTTGTTACGTATAATAGAGGTTATTAATATTATTTTTTTTGTTCAATAAATACGTTATTATTATGAAGCTAAATAGGTTATTTGGACGTATAGATAGATTTGATCCTATAATATATTAATTTATTTAGTTTATCTATTATTGTTTTATACTGAATCGATACTAATATATGAATACTGATCGATACTCATATATGAATATAATTTATTTATATGGCACAGAAATAAGTGATATTTAACTCTGCTTCCAAACTAAATGTTTTGTTAAAGTTTACTATTTTATAGTCTATTTTCAAAAAGCTTTTTCCTGTGAAGAAAATGTATGTTTTTCCAGCATAAACTGACAGTCACTAACGTCCGCACCAGGTTTCGTTGATTGCAAGTGCTTTCTTCCACAGACTTGATACATTGCATCAGCAACAACCCCTGATGAGGGTTGTGTAATACTTAGTGTGTATATATTCCTATCTTATCTAAAAAATATATATTTACAACAGTAAATTAAAGCTGTGTTAAAGTAATTTACAAATATTTTTGTACATAATATTTTGAAAGATGAATTAATCAATTAATTTCACTATCCTTTTTTAAAATAATTCTAAAACGTCTAAATTTATCTATTTCTTTTTCCCGTTCTTGTTTAAAAGGAGTTTATGTGGCTAATATTTTTTCCTTATTTCTTTTGGAACTTGAAGTGTAAAATATTTAATGGGCTGCTAAAAAATCAATTAGATTTATATTCAGATTATGACTTTAATTTTGTACTTCGTTACTAAAATCGTTTCATTTTTTTTCCTTTTTGAGCCTTGAGTACAATATTTCTATTACTATCATTTATTCTCTTCCAGTTTCTACTTTATCTGCTTTTCTCGTTTTCCTCCATCCCATATTTTTTCTCGTTTATCTCAGTTTCTTTCTTTTCCGCATTTCCGCTATAAGTAATCATGATTTATTTGAACTCATATATTATTTTTTGAAAGGAAGTCCTCAGCCATTAACCATTTATGTACGTTCCTCATACAATAATATTTATTATAGAAAACAAAAATACAAATATTTTCAATTCAGTATTATTTTTTATTTACAATGACTGAGTTCGTAATAATTACTTTAATCAATTTAAATGATTAACTGTTATGTTTGAATTGAAAACAATAATAATAACATAAATTCAACAATTTTCATGCAATTCGAAGAAAATATGTCTTGAAGAGATAATAAAGTATAATTAAACTTTGCTAAAGTAATAAACTATCATTTAATTATAATTCTCAATTATACGTGGAGTGTAACAAAAGTTCGCTAAGTTGGTTGAAAAAAAAAATAAAAACAATTTTATTTTAATATTTTTAATTTTTATCCTTTTCTACATAATTTCCATTTATTTCAAGTCAGTAGAGCCTTTCAAAACATTCCCCAAAATCGGCTTTTTGGAGCTTTTCAATTTTTAATTAATGATTTCTTCATAGGAATTGAAGACTCTTTGCTTCATTTTTTTTTTATTTTCGGAAATAGCCAGAAATCACAAGGCGCTATGTCGGTAGAATAAGGTGCTGCGCAAATGTCATTGATGTCAGAGAGCGCAAGAAAGTTGTTGGTTATTTCAGTAGTGTGAGTGGGCATGATCGTGATTTAAAAAGTAGCGACAAAGTTCTCCTTTTTTCAGGTTTCCCAATACATTTTTAAAAACTTGTGATAAGCAAGTTTCTGTGTACTACTTATCAGCTACCCTCTCATCAGTTTCGAGTGAAAAGCAGCTATCACTTTTACCCTGGTAAAGTAAATCAAGATTCATCATCGGTTACAATTTTAACTTTTAGTAAAAAGAGATCTGCATTTTCAAAATTTTCCAAGAAATATTCGGCAATTTTATTATTTATTTTAGTGATGATTTAATATTTGCGATAAACCCAGTTCATCAACTACCATTTCCAGTGTCACTTATGGATTTTCGTCAATTTTTGACCCTGGTGAAGGGATTATCGGTCGAAGATTTCGGTCAACCTTCACGAGGTTTGTCCTTCACAGAAAAATGTCCGGTCTGAAATTTTGGAATAGGGATGATGCATTCACTCCATATGCATTTTGTCATTCCTGGAAAATTTGGATAGACTTGAGTTGACGTCGAAATCTGTAGAGAATGGTAAAACAATTTTTTACTGTGTTGCAGGTAGGATTTATACCAACCTTACATCACTAATCTTGCATATTCTCATATCCATTCTTACCGATCTTTTTGAAATTTGACAAGAAATATTGTTAGACTTTAACAAATTGAGAAACAACTTTTGTTTTTTTAGAAAATAATCTCATTTTTAATGTACATATGTCAAAGTCGGTTAACTAATATATTACATTTTTGTGTGAAAGATGACCGAAGCTTTTCATTATATCTGATGAAATATGTAATATAGCCAAGTATTTAATTATCGGTATATTACAGAACTATTATTCTAACGTAATTATCTAGATCACCGAAGCGCGATTCTCGGCCGCTTGTAAATTTTCTACTTTAATTAATTACCATAAAACATGCAAATATAAAATATGCAGGTAATAAATAATGAAAGCTATTAAAACTCGCTTCGCCAATATTAAAACAGAGGTGACAAAAAAGGCATTCAAAACCTGCATCATCGATCTTTTTGAAAAGAAAAAAATAAAACAATATGTTATGGTAAATTTTTCTATCCATTATTAAAATTGTCCTGATTTCTTTAAATATTTGATTTGCCGGTACGTTACACCTTTGACGGATGGTCTACATCGATCGAAGTGCGCTTTAAAGAAATATGTTTGTTATATGAATATCACGGAAAATGCTTTCAAAATTAATTTGCATACATATTGTCTATGCAAAATATAATATTAATATTTATTTTATAAGCAAAAAACAGTCTTCGTAATTGATTTCTCTATTATATTTACTTTAAATAATTATTTTTTTATAGAGAAATTAATATTTGTATTTCTTACTTTTTTTCTGTAGTGACATAGGTTTTTTCTTATTTATATATTATAATAATTACATGAAACTTTTTAATTGTAATTATTCATTATATTATTTATTGCATCACCCAAATTATTTATTGCATCAAAATTTTCGTTAAATTTTAATGAATATAAGTTATAGTATATTTATAATAATTAATTTGTAAATTTACAATATTATTATGAGAAAATACGCTTTGCTATTGCATTCGACACTGTATTGGGTCCATAAGCACAAAACTGTCAAAGAACTTATTTTAAAGCGTTATGTCGCCTTTAAGTCACAGTATAGAATGACAAGATGCAAGATATACATCGTGAGATTCACTATAGCTCAAAACTATTTACATCACCCAATATTTTTTTAATTATTACATTATTTACTTAAAACCTTATAAACTTGAGTAAAATCATGTGATATAATACGACAAAACAAATCAATACCTTACTATGTGGTATTAACTACAAAATAAACAAAATTTTACTTGATCAAAATAAAAATATAGTAAACAAAATTAATAATTGTTTTTCTTTATAGTCAAGTCAAAAAAGACCGCATAAAAATAAACAAAACAAAAAAGTTTTGTTTATTTTTATGCGGTTTCAAATAGTGCGGATCCGTACTATGCGAGGAATTGTTGTCCTTGATTGGATATATTATTATTGCAATTAGAAGTATTTAGTATGTTGTGTATTCGAAAATATACATATTACTACTAAAATATTAGGAGTATTTCTTATGCTAAAATGAAGTATTGATGAAAGTCAATTGTTGTTTCTTAAGAAAGTTTAATTTGATAATTTATAAATAAAAATGTTATAACAACATAGAACTTGAGGTTGCTTGCAAATTATAATTTATGTAACGATATTGGAAAACATAATGAAGTCTTGACGTTTGTGAGTTGCGCACAGAATATGTATCCCAACGGAATTCCTGATGGAATATTGACACGTTTACATGGAATAACATTCCCAGAGGTAAAACCAACAACCTCACTACATCCGAAGAGAAAAAAAAGCAAATGCGAGATCTTATTAAATACGAAAACCCCGTGATCCCTGAACGCGAAAAGAATATTAAAATAGAGAGTTCAAATAAATATTCTATATATGTATATAGAAAATAAAAAAATAACTTACGTACAGACAAAAATAAAAGTAAGTA